TTTCCTGGTCAAATGAATATCCTTTGCATTTTCTGAAAAATGACTTACCATTTAATTTTCTGTAAGTCATTTTACAAACTTTTCAGTTCAAAGCATAAACACTCAAAATATTATTGTTTTATATATTTAATATTAATATATTATTTTAGTATCGTTTTAATAAAAATGTTAATTATTAAATTATATTTATTGATAATTTTAATAATATAATATCATTTTTATAATTATATTATTATAATATATAATATTATACTTTTATTTTAATAATATACAATAAATTATTAAATAAAATTTTCTAATATTTTAAAAATATTATTATTATTTTGTTAATAAATAATATTATTTATTGTATTTGATATTTATAATAAAGAATTTTTAAAAAATTTACCAATCAAAGGAAAATGAATTACAGAACATCATCCAAACACCATAAAATGATTTTCAGAAAATGTTTTCCATAAAATATAATTCATTTTACGTGGAACAAAAGGACGATTAGTTACTTCTGTCGGCTGAATTTACGAGATAATATTGTGAGAAAAAAAAATTCACGAGATAACGCGTTCGAAAAATTAATTGTTGAGATAGGGTGTTTGCTACAGTTCGAATGAAGATCGCCGGGTGGTCTGGGCGACCAACAATGAAGGTCGTCGGGTGGTCTGGGCGACCAAAAATGAAGGTCGCCGGGTGTTCTGGGCGACCAATGAAGGTCGCTAGGTGATCCATGGGAGAAACAATCAAACAATAATTGTTTGGGTTAAATGCAAATTTGGTCCTCATAATTTTACACTCTCATACATGTATTTATTTTAGTCACAAACAATTATAATTTAGTCATACATGTTTCTTGTTTATCCTAATTTAGTATGTATTTATTTTAAAATTGATTATTGGGATATCTTGTTTTGTATTTAGCATGTATTTATTTTAAAATTGATTAGTGGGATATTTTGTTTTGTATTCAATAATTTTTATTTGTTCTACGATTATTTATTTCGAGTATTTTTCACTATTTTTTAGTTTTATTTAGTTTTATTTTATATTGGAAAAATTTGCGAAATAATATCGTTGGTAGGGAGAAATAAACACATACTAAAATAGGATAAACAAGAAACATGTATGACTAAATTATAATTAAACATAAATACTAAACAGTGGCTAAAATAACATGTTTACAAATTTCATGGCCAATTTCAAAAATTAAGGAAAATATATAAAACACATGAAATCAGTGATTAAAATGAAATAACTAAAAATATTATGATCAAAATGAAGCATACACAAACTTGACAGAATAAACAACTAGTGACTAAAATATAATTATTAAAATATACATGCCTGAAACAAAACATTAAAAATGTCACTAAATGATTAAACAAATAGATTACAAAGCATAGGGGACCGAAAATGCTATTATCCCCTAAATATTAAAACACACGTATGAGAGTGTAAAGTTGTGAGGACCAAATTTGTATTTAACCCAAACAATTATTGTTTGATTGTTTCTCCCATGGATCACCTGGCGACCTTCATTGGTCGCCCAGACCACTTGGCGACCTTCATTCGAACTGTAGCAAACACCCTATCTCAACAATTAATTGTTGGAATGCGTTATCTCGTGAATTTTTTTTTCTCACAACATTATCTCGTAAATTCAGCCTACTTCTGTCTCTACCCAGTGAGCTAATATAGAATTTAGTGGGATCAGGAGTCAAAATAGAATCTCACAAAACAAGTTAGCGTGTTCGAATAAGTTTGATGTGAACGAGTTTCCTAGGTTGCAACGGGGCAAAGCTAGAAGCTTTTAGCCTTGTTATGCATTCAAAGGCTGTACATTACTAGGTGCAGTCAATAAAATAATGCTTGTTCGTTGCCTCATTTTATATTCTTAAGCACATGGAGGACTGGACATACACATGTTGATGTTGATGATTTTCTCTAGGAAAAACAAAGGTCTTAATTTATTTATATCCACTGAGGACTCACTCGGCTCAACGAATCTGGTCTGATAATAATCTGTGCTGTTTGATACAGCTAGCTAGCCTCAATCAATTGCTTGCCTCATCCTCATCATAGGCTTTGCTAAAGCCAGCCATTGGCCTCGTACCCAAGCCCACTCAAGCACAAACAAATACTCAAGATTAACCCTTCATATAATAATCTCATTTTCTTAATCATATAAGTCACTGTGACTGCTATTTGATTATAGGAATGTATAAATATATAATAAACAATGTAATGTAATATTTTCAATAATATTTAAACTAATTTTACATTTTCTTTGGTTTTCTTAATAAAATAATTCACTGGAACTATAACTTGGACATATTTTTTTATTATAAGATTGATTTTCTTTGTTATTTTCTCTTATTTTTGTTATATCATTCTCGATAGTTACTTAGTGTCTGTTTGTTTTCTTGTAATTGGTTTTTCGAAAAATATTTTCATCATTTTTCAGTGTTTGGTTGGTGGAAAACAGAGGGTCAATATAATTTATTTTCCTGGTCAAATGAATATCCTTTGCATTTTCTGAAAAATGACTTACCATTTAATTTTCTGTAAGTCATTTTACAAACTTTTCAGTTCAAAGCATAAACACTCAAAATATTATTGTTTTATATATTTAATATTAATATATTATTTTAGTATCGTTTTAATAAAAATGTTAATTATTAAATTATATTTATTGATAATTTTAATAATATAATATCATTTTTATAATTATATTATTATAATATATAATATTATACTTTTATTTTAATAATATACAATAAATTATTAAATAAAATTTTCTAATATTTTAAAAATATTATTATTATTTTGTTAATAAATAATATTATTTATTGTATTTGATATTTATAATAAAGAATTTTTAAAAAATTTACCAATCAAAGGAAAATGAATTACAGAACATCATCCAAACACCATAAAATGATTTTCAGAAAATGTTTTCCATAAAATATAATTCATTTTACGTGGAACAAAAGGACGATTAGTTACTTCTGTCGGCTGAATTTACGAGATAATATTGTGAGAAAAAAAAATTCACGAGATAACGCGTTCGAACAATTAATTGTTGAGATAGGGTGTTTGCTACAGTTCGAATGAAGATCGCCGGGTGGTCTGGGCGACCAACAATGAAGGTCGTCGGGTGGTCTGGGCGACCAAAAATGAAGGTCGCCGGGTGTTCTGGGCGACCAATGAAGGTCGCTAGGTGATCCATGGGAGAAACAATCAAACAATAATTGTTTGGGTTAAATGCAAATTTGGTCCTCATAATTTTACACTCTCATACATGTATTTATTTTAGTCACAAACAATTATAATTTAGTCATACATGTTTCTTGTTTATCCTAATTTAGTATGTATTTATTTTAAAATTGATTATTGGGATATCTTGTTTTGTATTTAGCATGTATTTATTTTAAAATTGATTAGTGGGATATCTTGTTTTGTATTCAATAATTTTTATTTGTTCTACGATTATTTATTTCGAGTATTTTTCACTATTTTTTAGTTTTATTTAGTTTTATTTTATATTGGAAAAATTTGCGAAATAATATCGTTGGTAGGGAGAAATAAACACATACTAAAATAGGATAAACAAGAAACATGTATGACTAAATTATAATTAAACATAAATACTAAATAGTGGCTAAAATAACATGTTTACAAATTTCATGGCCAATTTCAAAAATTAAGGAAAATATATAAAACACATGAAATCAGTGATTAAAATGAAATAACTAAAAATATTATGATCAAAATGAAGCATACACAAACTTGACAGAATAAACAACTAGTGACTAAAATATAATTATTAAAATATACATGCCTGAAACAAAACATTAAAAATGTCACTAAATGATTAAACAAATAGATTACAAAGCATAGGGGACCGAAAATGCTATTATCCCCTAAATATTAAAACACACGTATGAGAGTGTAAAGTTGTGAGGACCAAATTTGTATTTAACCCAAACAATTATTGTTTGATTGTTTCTCCCATGGATCACCTGGCGACCTTCATTGGTCGCCCAGACCACTTGGCGACCTTCATTCGAACTGTAGCAAACACCCTATCTCAACAATTAATTGTTGGAACGCGTTATCTCGTGAATTTTTTTTTCTCACAACATTATCTCGTAAATTCAGCCTACTTCTGTCTCTACCCAGTGAGCTAATATAGAATTTAGTGGGATCAGGAGTCAAAATAGAATCTCACAAGACAAGTTAGCGTGTTCGAATAAGTTTGATGTGAACGAGTTTCCTAGGTTGCAACGGGGCAAAGCTAGAAGCTTTTAGCCTTGTTATGCATTCAAAGGCTGTACATTACTAGGTGCAGTCAATAAAATAATGCTTGTTCGTTGCCTCATTTTTTCTACTTGGTGCAGGAAATTCTTGTTTTTACAAAGAATTATTAGTTGTGAAGAGTTGGTGAAATTTCTTCTGTTTGCCTAACTTTTGAACCAGAGACGGTACGTTCAAAATAAGGAATTGATGGAAAACAACTTGTGCACGGTATTTGGCTAGAACCGGAGGATGAAAGGGTTGGTGGGACTGAAACATTTGACCATTTACAATTCCACAGCCGAAGCCGATGAAGTCGAACAGTTTTAGGTATGTTAGCTCTGATTAACAAGGTCCCCAAAATAGCGAATTGCAGTCATTTGGTTTGAAGAAAAATGTTTCGGGGCCTGAAACTCAGAGTTCGATTAGAAACCTTGCTAAAGTAACTGTAGAAAACTTTACAACATTGTATATAATACAATATAGCTTAGCTTGTATATGAGTCATCCATAGGTACATAATCTACCGTCAAACCTTGGCTAATAGATGTTTCTGCTACAGGGGATGACAGCAAACACGTGTTTTTTCAATGCTGAAACAACACGTTTTTTCCTATGGAAAGATGCAATAAAGTTTAACGACAAACAAAAAAAATGGAAATTTATAGTATTGCATTGTCTCTTTATAGAGATAATGGAAAGGAAAAAGAACCAAAATCTTAGTGTACACAGTGATTAAACGTTTGGTATATCTAGTGCTTGGGAGTATACAAACTAGACCCCAGAGTTTTGTACAAGTCCGTGTCTGAATAGATAGCTCGAGACCTTGAATGTTTAACCCGACGTCTATGCGTTCGACCTTTTCGGCAAGGGATTTGACTTTTCTCTTCCTTTTCTTGTTTCTCTACATCATTCTTTTCAATTTTTACTTCATTGCATTGCTTCGCATATCTTTCTTCAATCTTCTGGACGACTGGTACCTCGTTGTCTTGAGTTGGGACTATGTAAACAAAGGGGCCGATAGGGATGTCGGTTAAGTCAAGGAGAGGCTGTAATGCCTTGACCACGTTGCGCATAGTTGGTCTAGATTTGGGGTAGTTGCTAAGAGACTGATAGGCTAATGCAGTAGCCTTCCTAGCCCCCTCGGTTGAGTATTGTCCTTCGAGTCTCGGGTCCATTATTAGGTGGAGTTTATGAGGGTTCTTCAAAAGGGGCCTTGCCCATTCCACAAGGTTCTTCTCTCGAGCAGGTCGAGTCTTGTCCACAGATTGTCTCCCTGTCAGCAGTTCTAGAAGTACTACTCCAAAGCTGAACACATCGCTCATAGTTGTCAAATGCCCTGAAAACCCATAATCACATTAGTTCATCTACCATTATGAAATCAATACTAATATAAATAGAACAGAGACAAGTTGAACAGTTGTAAGTACCTGTTGATATATATTCGGGGGCGGCATAACCTTTGGTGCCCATGACGCAAGTCGTAACATAAGTTTCTTCTTCTCCTGGACCGTCAGTTGCCAATCCAAAGTCAGAGACCTTTGCATTATAAGCCTGGAAATAAACCTTATTCCTATCAGTTTCTCTAGTCTTTGTTGATATGATATCAAAGCAAGGCCATGGGATGTACTTTTACCAAGTCTAATAAAATGTTTGAAGTTTTGAAATCTCGGTATATAACTGGTTTCTCTTCTTCATGGAGGAAAGTTAGGCCTTTCGCAGTTCCAACAGCAATTTTCAGTCTTGTTAGCCAAGGCAATGGTGGACCATATCCTGCATTAAAGGCAAGAATTATACAATTATCAGTTCTGAAAACAATATTATATTGATTCAAATGTTAAAATGCGGAAGAACAAAACTAACTTTTAAATAGTTGATTTTCCAAGCTACCACGTTCCATGTGTTCATATACCAGAAGCCTTTGTTCATCTTCATAACAATATCCAATTAAGTTCACCAGGTGGGGGTGCTTTAATTGCCCCAGGAAAATAACTTCGGCCTGTTAGAAAAAAAAAGAATTACTGGTCACATTTGAACTCAACTTCATCAAGAACAGCATTGTAATGGTAACATATAAATGCTCACCAGCCATTCTTTATGCCCCTGTGTGCCATCCAGATCAAGGACCTTCACAGCAACAGATTGCGCCTTCAAACCAGGCCTGAGGTTGTCATCAATGAACCCTTTGTAAACAGATCCAAACCCGCCCTCACCTAAAAAATTACTTTTGGAGAAGAAGTGAGTTATCGGTTGGAGCTCCTTGAGGGTAAAGACATGAAGGCTTACAAGCGAATTCGACAGATCACTTAGCAACAGTGGGGAGTCACAGTGGCTAATATCAGAGAGTGATACCCTTTGGCTGGAACTTCGTTTGGAAGGATGAACTTTTAGACCTGAGGATGGCACCTGGGGTGTGATGCAATTCGGGAGGAAATTTTTCCATGAAAAATAACTTTTGAGCTTCATTTTTAATTCCAAGTCTTTTTTTCTTCCTTTTTGTGTTAGGTTTCCAGTTGAGTAAGCTCAAAGGGGGGTTTAAATAGGCTGAGAAGGAAAGGAAAACAAGAATAATTATAATAATAAATGTGATTGGATCAGATGATCAGACCATAACAACCTCTTTTGATCCCAGAATTAGATTGACTTTGGGCCCTGCAGCCCCAAGACTTGACGCAAATAGTAATGTAATGGCAGAAAGTTGATGTTCGATAGTTCATATTATTAAAAGGGTTTGTTTTTTTAGTCATATGCATGAATTTAAGTTTCTCTGTAGTTTCGATCTGGTTACTTGGGGGTTGTAATCTAAGCCGACAGATGATGATTGAGCACAGTAATGACGTGCTTCCAATATTATAAAAAGGTAAACTATACCGAAGACCACCCAACTATAGTCCCTTTTTATTTTGACCATCATTTTTTAATTCTTGTCAATCAAGACACTTGCCGTTGATGTGGCATGATCTGATTCAAAGATTAAATTTATTTTAATTTATTAAAGTTAAGACCAAATTGAGATAATATATAAATAATAGTGACCAAATGTGTAATACTAAATATCATGACATATGTCGCCACCCGATTAAAAAATTTAATTTATTTTAAATGTCACCATGTGGGAGGAAAGAAAATTAAAATTGATAAAGAGGGCACAAGGGATTCAAACCAGGAACATTGGGGGAGAAGGGAAAAGCCCAATAACTCGGTCAAATTCAGTTTTTGGTTTAAAGAATACTACATATTGTATATATATTGTTTCCTAGTATAATCTTAAATTCTTAACTATAAAAATATATAATTTATTATTTTTTCTTTATTTATCAAATATATATTTTTTGGTTTAAAGTATGCCAAGTTTATTATTTGAGGTAATAATATTTATTAAAAATATTTTAAAATATTTAAATTCTTAACTATAAAAATATTTATTTTGTTATTTTTTCTTTATTTATCAAATATATATTTTTTGGTTTAAAGTATGCCAAGTTTATTATTTGAGGTAAGAATATATATTTAAAATATTTTAAAATATTTAAATTCTTAACTATAAAAATATATATTTTATTATTTTTTCTTAATTTATCAAATATATATATTTTGGTTTAAAGTAGGCTAAGTTTATTATTTGAGGTAAGAATATATATTTAAAATATTTTAAAATATTTAAATTCTTAACTATAAAAATATATATTTTATTATTTTTTCTTAATTTATCAAATATATTTTTTGGTTTAAAGTAGGCCAAGTTTATTATTTAAGTTAAGAATATATATTTAAAACATATGTTTAAATTTTTAATTATAAAAATATACATTTTATTATTTTTCTTAATTCATTGAATATATATTTTAAAATATTATAAGAATAAAATTTAAATATTTAAGTTAAGATAAAAAAATATTTAATAGTTAAGAATTTAAGATTATACTAGGAAACAAGATATATAGAATATATATTATATTTTAAACCAAAAAATAAACTTAGCTTAATGGTTGGGCTTCTCCCTTCTTCCCTCTCCCCTAATGGTTGCTGGTTTAAATCCCTTGTGCCCTCTTTACCACTCTAAGTTTTATTTCGAGGTGACACGTGTCACCCTCTTATTGGTAAAAACTAAATATATGAAATTAAAATAAATTAAATCCTCTAATCGGGTGGTGACACGTGTTATGATTTGGTATGAGTAACATGTGACATGATTTGATTCGATGATTAAATTTATTTTAATTAACTTAATTTAGGACCAAATTGAGATAATATATAAGTAACAATGATCAAATGTATAATTATACTAATTTTATTAACTGCCACATCCTCACTTCCGTTAAATGTTAACAGCAAATGGCCTGATTGAACGCATTTAAATAGTTGGGTGGCCTGATTGACAAGAATTCAAAAGTTTGGTCAAAATGAAAAGAGAATATAGTTGGGTGGTCTCTGGTATAATTTACCCTATAAAAATTCTGTACTATTTTTGTCTGTGTGGGCGTGTGGCTGCCTATTGGCTCTTCTCCGCACTTTCCTGTGTCGCTTTTGTGGGTGGGACAAAATATGAAAGCTCCGCTGATCATAACCCAAAACTGAGTCCGTCTTTTCAAACTAAATCATCTGCTCCATGAACCCCTGATCGGTGCAATCTTCTTGCTTGCTACAGATCTGATATATTAATGAAACTGAAGTTTTGAATAATATGGATTATATTAAATTAAGGTGATGTATCAAAGGTGAGGGAAGACTGTTTTATTTCCTGCAATTTGTATATAAAATAGAGACATACACGTCTTGATCAACCACCTAATAACCTACCTAAACAGTTGTAGTTTTGTATGAAAACCGTCAACAAACAGGTCGTGATTTTGATGTCAAAATCAAAACAAGCGGACGGCTCAAACTAATTAAACAACTGCAATGGTATATCTAAAACAAGGTTATTAGCTGCCTACGTATATATATATATATGTCTCTCTCCTGCTTCTTGCCACCTTGAAGAAGGACAGATCCTTTTGCTTTAAAGTGGTTGAGGGCTGCATTTCGCCTTAGATGGTGAAGTTGGTCTCTGGCAATTTTGTCACCTTCTCTTAAATTGGTGAGGTTAGAGAAGATATTTTGCCATTTTCTTTTCAACACCAAAGCTAATGGATGTATATATTTCAAACCAATGACTTGACAATGTAAATGGGGACGATCAGTAACACCAGTTCCTGGTGTGTTATTATCATGGGTGAAAAAAGTATCTTCTTTCAACCATTTTTGGTGGAATGTTGAAAATTGAAATGTTCACAACTGCAGGGATGTGTTGTGTGTAGTATAATTCAACCACACCGAGCCTTTCGCTATATCACGAGGGGAGACCGAGGCACTAAGCCATTGAATGTGTAATTAATAAACAATATAAATTATTTACAAAATATTTCATCAACTTCTACCATAATCTTTGAAGGGCGCACTAAAACCTTAATGATTTTGATATTTGACAATGACGATTTCGTATGAATAAAATTGTAAAAAGTTTTTTCATTAAAATACTAATGAAAAGATGTAATTTTCCATGGAAACGAGTTTTATTTTTAAATATTATTTGCATGTTAATTTTAGGGCAGACATTTCACACCTAACAAATGAGCAGATAAAGTAGATTTCCAAATATATTAACGCAAATCATCATTATATTCTATTTACGTTTCCCCCTTACAAGTGGGAAATTATTTGATGAATGTGAGACACTGCTAGTTGCTTACACCTGGATGCAGTGCTCAATCATTCTACTTGATACCATGACCATGACTCAATCTAAAAGTTGAACCATTTGAGAGTAATAAGTTTGATTCTAAAAAAATAAATTCAGTTTGTCACGTTCAAAATTTTAGATTGAGTGCCCCCCTGTTTGTCCTTTTTGTCGGCAAGTTAGATCATTTAAAGAACTTTTAATATTTATTTAATTTGATTTTAAGTTTGAGGGTACCTTCAAAAAAAAATAAGGGTGTGAATCTTATTTATATTTTTTTAAAAAGATAATTAAATCTTTGATTTTTTTACATTTAATTAAGTTTTTTATTTTTAAAAATATTTTTAATAATTTAAAATTTTATTTTATCACTAATTTATAATTAAAAAATAAAAATATATTTAAAATTTTAAAATTACTGTGTTTTAGTTTTAAATAATTAAAAATATGAATTAAAAATAAATTGAAAATAATAAAATTTTAAACTGAAGAGATGATAAGAAAAATCAAACTCAAATTAGTGTTGTTTTCATTTGCGTTGTATATGAAAAACAAATAAATTTTGAGATCTAAAGTATAGTTTTGAGTATATGATCCATATTTCATGTCATTATTATGGTTGAAGTTTCTATTTTTATTTGAGGATTAGACAAATAAATTTTTCTATTATATCATATTGATACATAAACTGTTACATCAGTAAATTTAATGATTTCATTAATATTATAATATTTAAAGGTAGATTATGTTAACAAAAAAACTTATTTGATACATTTCAAAAATATAATAATAATCACATTAGATGTATTTTTCAAAAATTTTAATTTTAATTTTTAAATCAGAGACTTTTTTATCTCGTAAATCAACAATTCAAATAAAAAAAAATATTACATCCTAAAAAGATCAAATTAATAGTTGAAACAAAAAAATGTTTTTTTTAATTGTAAAAGTTCATAAACATCATTATAAATTTGTATTTTTAAGATGATAAGGAATATAAATTGAAGATATTGGGCTTGAGCGAAAATGGATCGAACTGCTGTGGTCCAGTCCAAGGAATATAGATTAAACCTAATTTCATAAGAAGTAAACTTGCTTCCAGATATATACACAACAAAACAAGAAGTACATATATTAATTTACTAACACGGAGTTGAGACCAAACACGAGACACCACGTGGACAGAGGTAGCCAGCCAGGGACACTCTCGAATCCCCATCCTCGTCGGCGCAAATAACACGTGCCGGCCTCCTATACTGACCATATGGCGTCGGAAGCTGGAGGTGACTCGCCACGTGCCCCCAACTAACTTGCACGAAGACGGAACTTTGCTTTCGGCAGTACTGAAAACAACAACAAAACAAAGTGTGGGAAGGTGCGTAGTCCGGATTGTATGAGGAAAAGCCGGTTAATATACGGTGTTATTAGATACATTAAAAGATATTTAATAAATTTAGTTTAGCGTTTTTGGAATTCCTGAGTAATAATAATGTAGTAGGTCTAAATCATGAAGAATATTAAAAAATTTGGCAACCGACAAACTTAACTTGTCGGTTTGTGTCGAGCTAAATTAAAAATATATCGATCCATATCAATATAAAGGTAAAAATATGACAAAACCGGTCACGAAAAGACAATACCGGTAAAGCCCTACCGGATATATTAAAAGTGTCGATACTTTAAAATACTAAATCGACACTTTGTGAATTTAAAAGATAAGTAGTTTTAGCGCCTATAAATTGTCGTT